TAAAAAAAATTAAAAATTTACTTCATATGCTAAATATGATTTTTTTAGTAAAATAAGTCCAGATTTAACTTTAACTTATAAAAACTTTTTTTTTTAGATTTCTTTCCTTTCTATTGATAAGCTTTCTCCCATGACTTAATCCTAATTATTAAATTTATCTTTATTAAGGTTGCTTGTCTAAACTTATTTTTGATTTGATTAAATGTTTAAACCTTTAGTTTTGTTAAATTTTTACTAAGCATTTGATATAGTTTCACCATCTTTATAAGCTTTGATATAGCTTTAACTTTTTCTGAATTTCAATATTTTATTAAGGTTTTAATATAATTTAACTAAGTTTAACTTCACATTTAGTTGATCTATCTAAACTCTTGATTTTGACTAATAACCTTAATCCTTATACTTCAACCATATTTTTTATTAATTACTATTATTTAAAGTGTATCTTACATCAATTATATTAATCCTTAAATTTGTTAATTGATACTTAAATTTGTATAAGTTTAAGAAAATTATATTTGTATTCCTCAATTTTATTATTCGTATCTCATGGGTTAGCATTATGACCATAATTCTGGTTATAGGAATACATAATCATAGACATAACCAATAGGATGTCTGAAAATTTTCATCATAATAATCAATATATAGAAAGGTAATGCTACACCAGCTAGACTAAAATAAGCTTTTAATGCTTATGCATGTGAACTCGTAAATTTGTTTTTTTTTTTTTAATGTGCGTAGTAGGTAAATTAAATCTGTTGTACAATTTGATAATTATAAATAAATAGGATATATTTTTCAGGCAATTTAATGGTCAATTTAATTTTTTAAAACCGTTGCAGATTTCTTTTATTAAATAGAGTATAGAATTAAATTCACGGCCGAAGTTCAATATTAATTGCTTATTGCTTATAGTAATAAAATACGCTAATATATCCTTTTTATGCTTGGAATCTGTATTATAGATTTTTTTTTAAAACCAAACTCGAACAATTTTAGATATACATAATTTTTTATAGTCCAAGTACGTTAAATATGGAGTCGCTACATGACAAATTAAACATTGAAATATTAAATACATAGCAACACCTATCAACCTTTCAGTTACGAATCGTAAATGGTATAATATTTCTCGCGACCCAAATGCCCGATCTGAATGGTTAATTTATAAATATGGTAGAGCTCATGCTTTATTTCACGCAGTGAGGCTGGGCAATAGTTACATGACAGAAAATGTCTTACTAGCTTTACTCTCGAAAAGTGCGATACTCTCCAGATATTTTATACAACGGTTATTAATGCATTTCGGTACTTATGATGAGCAACTTATAAAATTAAATTTGG